ATTGAAAACTAATTTTATCTTTTACTATATTAACATGACTTGGAGGACAATTAGTTGAATATCCTTATACTGTAATATAAATAATTTTTACGCTTATTTATTTTTCATATTTTATTTCATCATCTATATTAAATTATATTTGAGATAAATTGTTATCTTGGTTAATGAATCTGATAGAGTTCATATTTTTTAAATATAATATAAATATGTTGCATATTAATTCGTATTTTTGGACAGGACAACTATATTTGTAAAATACGTTAAAAGGACGAGTTGAAGGAGTTCAGTTATACTACAGATATCTTAAAAGTAGCATAATTAGTATATAATTATTTTCATAAATATTCGACGAAGTTTGAGAATTACAAATTTTATGTGACCAATGTACGAAAAAGGCAAAAAGAATTAATTTTCTGAAAATGAGCCGAACTGGGTCTCATATTGGAAACCCATCAGTCAAATCTGTGAATTTGCATATTTTTAGTTTTCCCTTTATTACGAAGAATCGACATTTTATTCTATCCATATTTTCCAGTATTTATAATATTAATAGAAGTGTTTTTAATCGAAAATTATGATTAAAAAAAACAGAAGTGTTCATTGCAAGCTCATTCGGCAACGAACGAAATAGTAAACACCGCCGATGAGACTTCGGAGTGAAAAATGGTTGAAAGTTCGAAAGGTACAAGTTTCAGGTTACATTTTTCCTGGGACGATTCCGCTCGCATGATCGAGCATTCCGAGATTTGGGAATTTCGAAGGCGATAATAGAGCGCGTTCCTCGCGTACCGACCCGATTACGCTTCTCCATTTTCCAGATTAGTATTCCGGCATCCTTTCTATTGAATCGCGTACAATCCGATCCAGAACGAGAACAATGACAAGCGAAATACGCGACATCGCTCATTCATCGATCACACGTTACGGTTTTCGCTTGAATTACCAACGCCGGCGTTTAATTCCCATCATATCGTCCCATCGATCCCCCCCTCGAATTGGTTCTGATAAATTTCGACGCGTTTACCGCTGGTTTTCGTGTTCGTTACATGTTTCAATCGAAAGCGACGCCACGTTATCATAAATACGGTTTTAGAGACGCCACGAATCGAATTCCCGCGAATCGATTAATTCAACAGCGTTTAAAAGCACTTGCAACGGAATTAGATCGACGCTATTTCAATTATACGACGACAGGGCAATCTAATGACGCGCGGACCGTCGCGTCGTCCCAATCGTTCGTCAATTTGTATTCCGCTTGCCACGGTCATTTTTCGTACTTGTCCGCACGCGCTACATAAATCCCGTGTAACAGCCGAGGATTTAACGGGAACAAAATTAATGAGACAAGCCTGTGTTCCTGCGCCGTGCGGCCACGGTCGAAACAAAACCAATTAGCTGTTCCACGACCTGTTCTACTTCGTTGTTGAAGTTACAAGGGCACAAATCTCTAGTTGCAAAGGTGAAATTGCGTACGAGGAAGCTCCAAGTTGCCGACCCGATCGGGGACAGTTTAATCGATTTGCTAATTCAAATATCGCCTCCCATCTCGATCGGATGGTTCCTAAAGCGCGGACTTTCAATTTACAATACAGAAAAGCCCCTTTGGCTGCCACGTCAACCGTATCTTCCTGTTTCTATTAGGATCTGCAAATCGAAACTTCTCAATTTTAATTTGATTAACACGTTCCGCGTGCCGAGCTTTTTTTACTCGAATCTTCACACTTTGATATTTGACTAAAACTTGATGTATTACGTGCAATTATTAATTCTCGTACACATAACAACGTAACAAAAACTTATCAACGCCCATTCTTGCGGTGGAAATTGATTCTTCGGTTCTAAATTTCTTGTAAACAATTTGTTCAGTTCACTAAGTAAACATGCAAGCGTGTACCATCGATGGTACACGTGGCACGGAACGTGTTAAATGAAACATTTTGGTTTCATTAAATTTTCGAAATTTT